GTCTCAAATATCTTTGAGATATTTGCTACGATACCTCTGAGACATTTGTATAAAGATATCTCTCAGATATCTCTGAGATATCTGTAACTTCATAAGGATATCCTTGTTACGTCAGTGCTATGTGGGTAGTATATGGATATTTAATGCATATACATAAATCGGTCTTTAAAGAACGAGCGGAAAGACAATAAACGATCATCAACCGATTGCATTATGGATTATAAACGAATCCGTTAAACAATGTGATAACGCTGATATTTGTAGATTTTCCATCTATCTTGACGATACGATACACAAATGGACGATCGATCGTGAATCTTTCCACCGGCGTGATCGAGAATATCGACAATTTGTCCACGACGATCGCTGAAACACACGATTGATTATGACATGCGACCCATTCACTTGTCCACTCGTTTCGCGAAATCGGCGAGCAGAGATAAAACATGCAAACGCAATGTTACGTAAATTAATCACCGCGGTACTACAGGAGGAAGTGTAAAGTCCTGATGCAGCGCAGTAAGAAAATTATAAAAGAATTAAACAGAAACGTTATGCGCAGAGATGTCAAAATGCGGGTAATAAGGAGATAGAATATAACAAAAGTTTAACAAGTTCTCAGTTTCTCGTTGCAACTCCATGTCGACTATCAGGATCGTCGCCTGGGAAGTCTTTGAAGATGCGTAAGATATAAAAATAATCAACTGTGTAGACAAGTAGACCATTGAATAGCTCCTTGTACAGAATCAATGAATTTTCAATAAATCTCAAGGGAACGTAATAGATTGGAATTATACAAAGACACGAGGTCACATGAGTAATCTAGTTTTATTATAATGCCATATTACTCATTGCCCGGCGAGAAATGACTCGTCGATCGACGTCAAAACGATGTCGAATCGACATCATTTCGACGAATCACTTCTCACTGGGTGACATTCTCTAACAAAATGTTCCTGGCGAGAAAGAAATTGGAAAGTGATATTTTCTCGGATTCTAAGATTCGACAGTCACGAAAATGTGACATGCGGAAACATCATTTGAAAGTTTATCGCGATAAATATTGTCAAATTGGTGAGACGCCCGCCTAGGGAGTAGGGAGATCCAGCTTTAAATGGCCGAGGTAATATTTTTCGCAACAAAATTTCCGCCGAATGTTGTTTGTTCAATTAGAAAGTGTTTATAAATCGGTAATAGATCCGGCAAACAATTGCACCATGCGGTGTCCATTTCGATCATGTTGCACTGCACTCGTGACATTATAGAAAAACGGATGGTCGATTTGTATCTCTTCTGACAATTAAGCTAGGAGGAGGTATTATATCTGAAACAAATCGGCGCCACAATATTCTTCATTTGATCGTACAGCGTGCGATAGTGTTTGCCATTTTAATTAGATTTCATGAATATCAAGCTTGTACAATAGAACGCATCATCTGACTGACGAATGAACGAGCGAAGATATGACAGCTCGCGAGGCGATCTTATTTTATGTGTTTGGTCGGAAACGTTTATTCGTAATTAATGGACGAGGATAGATTAGAAATGGGTTAAGATTAATTCCTGTTAGTTTCTTTCTTTATATTTCAATGTATTGCTTTGGCAACCTTTTAATATATTAATATGTCTTATTTTATTTGAAATACACAGACTAGATTCGACCAAATTATGTAAAACGTAAATAGAGATTCAGTGTTTCTCGTTCCTTTGGTTTTTGTATATACAGGTACATATTATACTTTTTTTTTATCTATGTAGATACTATGAATAGAACAAGATTTGCACATTCCGTCTTTTTTCTTCATAGCAACATTTTTGCGCGAAATTATCCTGAATGGTGGAATGTGCAAATATAATTTAAGTATCTATCGTCTTTTTACATCTGCCGTTTAAGCTATCCGAAAAGTCGTCAATGCTTTCTCACGAATAGAAAAATAATATGCATATTTATCATGCGACAGATATAAATAAAAACAAGATAAAACGCATAATAAAATATAAACGCATACATACGTACAGGTGGTTGATAAATTAATTTCTTTCAAAAGTTATAAAAAAATATATATATGCATATCTGTAAAAGAAAACCTATACTTCCAAGTTTAAATGTCAGTAATATTACCAGTAATTAATTTAATTTTATACTTTTACATTCAAACATTACATATTTATATGACAACATTAGAAAGTGTCACAAATGAGAGAATACAAAGATCCTTCATATCGATATTAATAAAAACAATTTCACATTCTGTTACACAAATTCTCTCATATTAAATATTGAAGAGGGTACGATATAAATGTGTCAAGAATAATTGACAAAAAAAATAACAAACGTCAACTGACGGCTGCAATTAATAGACTTTAACAAACGACTAATTTGCGACGTAGAACCGCTTACTTCTGTCCAAAATGCAGATCATAAACCAAGCATGTATCGATATGCACGACGTTTCTATCTATTGCGACTGCTAATAAGTCGGTACGGTAACTATCCCGGTAAATAACTGCACGGTGCCACCGTTTTCATTCTCCGGATGCTGAGGATGCTTGACAATACTATAAAGGAACGGACGATCAATATACACATCGGTCGTAATCGTCAGACAGCGCGTTTCGAACTCCATTCCTGAAAAACAGATTATCGGATTGTTCGTGCTAATCGCGGCGAGATAAGGGTCGCGATTATTCCTTATTCGCTTCTGCGGCGTGGCGTAATGGCACGATGAAGGCATCAGCAAGCGTCTTGTTAAGTTACAATGAAACGAAAGATGCCTGGACTACACCTAGTGTGCATTACTGTGTGCATCGTAATAGTTCCGAGTCCGCGGGGACTATCTACTTCATCTATGTATATATCTCTCTTGGTATTTTCTTCCGGGCTTCGAAAAGCAACCGCACTGTACCAATTTCATACAAAGAAAAATTACGAGATGCTCCAAGCTATACAATTCTCTTTAAATTCAGATATCACAAGATTACAATCAATCACAAGATTGAAACAAATGCTTATTGTAAAAAAGTGTTTCTTTAGCAAGTTGAGTAAAAAGAAATTAGAATCTACGACTGATCAGATATTCATCTGGTTCTAGTGCGCTCACAATCGAATATATTTTCGCTGAAGAATCCTTGCGAGATAAAAAATTGATTAATAAAAAACTACCCGTAATAAAGGCACCGTACGTAACGCACACTTGCCAAAAGCGAGCGTTTAAACCATTGTTCAGATGATATGACGGGAAACATTTAAAATGGGACTGTAAATCTGTGCGAGATCTGGAATGCTTAATATTTTATGAATGATTTCTTAAAAAATGCAAACAACTTAACAATATAATAAAAAAAACACAGCAAAAAGAGAGCCGAACAAATCAATGATTGACCTGGTGCAGGCAAATGTTATATGAAGTTCACTCCCAGTTATTTAAACGCTGTTATCTGTTACGTGAAGCCAATTATAGATTTCACACAATATTTCGTTCTCTCAATTTCACTGTCGATTTGTTTAAATGGAAATTTCTTTCTCCTCTTCTCGACACGACGCGGCCTAAGAGAGCTGTATTCGTTTATGTATTAATCGTAAGCTGTTAAACTCTATTAAAAATCCTATTGGATTATATTGTGTTGTAGTAGATAAATCCCGAGAAATATTAAGGACTCGCTGAAGGTTTAACGACGAATCCGTCGAAGAGCGAAGCTACGTTGTGTTTAATGCTGTAGTAGAAGGGTCGGTCCGCCTTGAAGATTGGCGGCTCGAATTGAGGAGCTGGCATTCCAAGTAATACGAACATTTCACCTATAAAAAATCATAGGACCAAATCATACGGACGTGTCGATCCATAGATGTCTCCTTTTGATCGAGGCAATTTTGTTAGAGACCTTTGGATTGGGTAGAATCGAGCTGCGATTGAGAAGTTACGAAGCCGCTTATACAGAACAACGAGCCGCTGTTAACAAACAGTTGCTAAAACGATTCGTAGCCAAGTTGTCAAGCAGTACAGTATTGTCTTTTCGCTCCGCTATATCAGTCTATGAATAAACGAATTTCTTTCCGACGAGCCGAGTTTGTTCATTCCCAAGTGCGCGAACGCGGATGAGAATGTGTGAACGAGAGTGCGCGTGCGTGTGCGTGTGCGTGTGCGTGTGCGTGTGCGTGTGCGTGTGCGTGTGCGTGTGCGTGTGCGTGTGCGTGTGTGTGTGTGTGTGTGTGTGTTACACGAGCATCTTTCTCGGGCATAATAATACCATGTATGTATATGCTAAATGTCAAAGATTAAAAAAATAGAAATTGTACCTAATAATTATTTTACCAAATATCTGCAAACGGATGAAATTTAGTTTTAGAAATTAGCTCACGATAATTATTTTTTTTAAGATATAAATTTTTTGGAACATTGCTATAATTTTTATACATTGTTGTTTTACATGCATAGAAAATGTGCATGTCGGAGAAAAAAATCTAGAATAAATATCTCATCCATAAAATGTAGATATATTGTCTCGAAATAAATGGGCCAGCATTGATGTCCAGTCAGTATATGTATAAAATCCTGTATATTTAATTATAAAAAATATATCAATTTATTGCGTGCACACGAGAATGCACGCGAAAGAATAACTCAGAAATAACTCAGCAAGCCAATTTTATTCTAATTTTATTCGTGTCATTTAAAACACCAGAATAAATTAGATGTAATAATAGAGAAAAATCGGATGATTTGGAAAATAGACAATAGCTTGGACCTAAACAGTACTAGAGCTATTAATTCAATTTTATAAAAAGAAAAATAGATGTCGGACGTGAATCGTACAACTTTGGGTGTGCCAGTATTTGCATCATCAAAATTATCACACGTTCGATCGTACGACGTTCGGTATTACAAGAAAAAAAGTTTTTGTATTTTGTAACAGATTGCGGAAAAGACAGATCGTTTCTGTTATAAAAAATACCTCTGCCGACAATGACAACGATTTCCTTCAATGCAAACATCGTATACAATAGGCATATATGCGAGTGTGACAAATAGACTTGCGTTTAACGATCAACGTATGCATTCTAGACCTAAAACATAAGACCAAGACGTAACTTCAGACACATCTACTACAGTTTTGCTCAATTTTCAAGCGTACCTAGACTTTCGGTTCGATCACATGGCCTTGGAATAAAGCTACACTTGGCGAGCTGTGTTTAATGTAATAGCAGAACGGCTGGTTTATGTCAACTATCAATTCCGGTCGTATTATCAAAGAAGCAGGCATGACTTGGACAACTGCAAACATAATGCAAATCAACCATATTATACGATCGTCTGAGAAACTTCTATCGAGTCTCCTGCGCTTGTGCGAAACACGAATGTAGTGGAAGGCGGGGCACATTGAGACACGGGGCACTATGTGATGACAGCGATTTTTTCTCAAAACGCAGCGAGCGCAGCCAAACATTGACACACACAAAAGAAAGGCGTCATAAAAAAAGTTACTTTCACGGAGTTTCAGAAGTCTCTGAAAAAAATCAGGGCGGTTAGAGTAATATAACAAAATCCGACCAGACCAGCAATTTGATTTTCAATTTATAGTTTTGTTTCTCAAGGTAATGCATTTCTTTTGATGGCACAAGCCCAGTAAACATTGGATATTCTATGTATATACATGGAGTGTCCGTAATGTGAAAAAAATATCCTGTATCTATCATGTACATACATAGAATATACAGAAATATATATACATTTATAAAATATTCATGGAATATCGTATGGATATATGTGGTATGTATATTCATTCGAGATGATATTGAAAATATATATAGAATGTACCTCTTATACATTCCACGTATGTTCATCGAATGCACATACATGCGATGCATATATATTTATGAATATTCGTAGAATATCGTACGGATATATTATA